AACAGGGCAAAAGAAAATCATGCTTAGTAAAACTCCTGACAATCAAGGAGAAAGATAAAAAAATCTTAAAATCAGCTTCTCTTTTGTTTTTATACAGGCTTAATTGCATTTATCTCAAGATTTTTTTAAGTTGTGGATGAGTGAGCCTAGCAAGTTCCCCAGCACTCTTTAAGAGCCAAGGGGCATATGTGGTTCTGCTGCAAGTTTGGGGACATCCTGTGGAGGCCTGGGGATTATTGTGTATCTGCTCCACGTCAGTAGATGCCTGACTAGCTGAGCTAGGAGACCATGATATGCAAAACTAACTTGCCATTATAGTATAGACAAGAGAATGGCATGGACCCCTTATGCCAGTCAACCACCAGCAAAGAAAGGAGCTATTCTACTGGCAGAGATGATCGGTGGAGCCTTTATGGAGAAATGGTTGCTATGATACAGTGGTGAAATAGAGCTCCATATACCCTCATAACTATGCTATCTGCTTCTGTAGAATGGCTTACTTAACCTAAGTAACTCCATTTTACCCCCTGTCTAACCTGCAGACTACCCCCCTTCTGCATGAGAAACTGTTGACCTTCTCACAGAAATAAAAACTGTTGCACAGAAACAGGAGCCATACACAGTGAACTATTACATGGGAACAGGAACCATACACAATGAAAATTTGTATGCTTGATTGGTCTAATGGCTCATTTTTGGCTTCTGTAACCTAGCTCCCTAGCTTGCTTTGTACACCTGGATAAACCCGTGTGCCAACGGGATGTGGTTTTTGCCTTTAGAAACCCCACAAGACCAAGGCCTGGGGCTGTTCTCCGTTGGTTGATCCTTGAGAGACGGTCGCTGGCCAGCTGGAGTGAATTAACTGCCCTTTTCTGCATGAGTGGCGTGTAAGTGCATTCTTGCAGGAGGGTGCCTCAGAACATTTTGGAGGCCCCAGAGAGATTCTTTCTCACATGGGTATATCCCTCCCTGAACTTATTTCCTAGGAGAAGATGAAGAAGGTTTCCTCTTCTCCCTGGAGGCAGAGGGGGCACTTTACACTCTTCCCAGGTAGGTGAGAACTCACTAAGGGACAGTGCACCAATTATTGGACTTAGTGGGAGGCTGGAAGCAGCATTAACTCCCCTAGTCCTTGGGCTCCCAGACATCGCTGGGCCCATTGGTAATTTGGATTTGAGACTTGCAAGTCAATAGGAAATATGTTTCCATGTTTCTTGTTTGTCTTTGTCATTGTGATTGTTGTGTCTATGAATATCTTAGAGTAATGGGTCTGGTTGTGTGTTGTTGTGTGTCATTAACTGTGGTCCTATATAACATAATGGGACAAAATTCTTAGTCTTTGGTGTCCTGCCTGTTATTTGTTTGTTTCTGTGTGTCTGTCATCATTGTTGTTTGTAACCAAATGGGGCAAGTTCCATCTCGGCTGATTCACACGGTAGGCCCCCTTGAATGCATGATTTCTAACTCCAAGTATTTCCAAATGAGGGCAACAAATTATGGGNTAATGGGTCCGGTTGTGTGTTGTTGTGTGTCATTAACTGTGGTCCTATATAACATAATGGGACAAAATTCTTAGTCTTTGGTGTCCTGCCTGTTATTTATTTGTTTCTGTGTGTCTGTCATCATTGTTGTTTGTAACCAAATGGGGCAAGTTCCATCTCGGCTGATTCACACGGTAGGCCCCCTTGAATGCATGATTTCTAACTCCAAGTATTTCCAAATGAGGGCAACAAATTATGGGGTGTCAGTCAACCCGTTTGATCTCAGAAAAATCTCTGAACATGAGTTGTAAGGGAAAAAAGAAAAAAAAATGATGTGGCCTGTGGTCTTTTGTATTTCCATGAAACATTGGGGATAAGGACACATATTTTTCACCTTGTGGGGATCTAGTAATAATATTTTTTAATTAAAAAATTATAATCAGGAAGAAATTACTTACAATATAACTTTATAAATATTTTTAAAACTTCAATCTAATTCTGAGTTTTTAATGGCAAAAATATCAAAAGAATAAATTCCTATGCCCCACAAATTCCTGGTAATATAAGTGAGTAGTCTTTATTAGGGAAGAGACACTTCTTTAAACATATCCAGTGGCTCAGTTCAGTCTATACAAATACGAATATGGATTTGCTATGACAACTTGTTCTACCCCCTTTCCCAACCAATTTCCTGTTACCCATCTCCAGTGATTCTGTGTAGGGCTGTCATAATAACTGAACAAGGCTGAGGGGTCTAGGTTCTTAAGAGGGTTACTTCCCTAGGAACAAAAGGGCTAACATGACTCTTCATAGGGTGCTTTGTGCAGAAACAGCCACTCTTGATATTAATGTGGAAGGTCCCTGATGGAGGATTGAGCATTCAATAAATTCAATAGACTCATCCTCTGCTCTTCTGGAAGCTCAAAGCACTTGGAATTTTTTCCACCTCCAGAAAGGAGCCTCTTGCTCTTCTATGGCTGATCATCACCTGTTCTTGTAATGATCATTACTCTCAGTAGAAAAAATTCTATTTCATTCTAATTGTTCTATGATATGATTTAGAATCACTCTAATGACACATATTCTTCAGCATGAGAATGTCTCCTGGTTCCAGCACTGCTATCCCAGGAGGGGCAGAATCTCCTCAGCAATTGCTCAGCCTGAATACCATGTCTCTGCCTCTGACTGGCTCCAGAGCAGGTGAATTGGGACTTCTCAATTGACCATACCATGAGGTCTCTGATCTTTCTACTATATCTAGTATCTTATGCAAAACCTTCGTTTCCTCCTGAGACACACCTCAGAAAAGCTTCAAGCTGATCTGGACCAGGATGGAACATTCTTCCATGGAAAGAAACTACCAGATGAGGAGTAAAACTCAGGCACATACTACTATGCTATCAGTGGCACAACGACAAGAACTGCAGAGGGAGCTGACGTTGTGGGAATATTGTCACTTAACTTCTATATCTGTCCACAGACAAGGATTGCTTTATTTCTTTATTTCAAAATATTACAGAGCTAACTTGCTGCTACTCCCCTCCCAGTTAAACTAATTTCCTGTACAGAGACAAAGTGTCACTCAGGTCCACTAATTCTACTTGGGGCTTGTGGTCTATGCTTAAATTTGTGTATTGCATATTTTTTATTTTGTATTTTTGTCTACCTAAATTGTGTGTGTGTGTGTGTGAGAGAGAGAGAGAGAGAGAGAAAGAGAACTATAGTCCAATAGTCCCCCTGGACCTGGAAAATCAGCCTTCTTATACATGGATCATGCATGGCTCCTCATGTTTTGCATGTGACTGCTCTTTCTAACTTCGACTTACAAATTTCCTACACACAAATACTAAACTTAAACTATAATGCACTGAGTACATATAATTGGCTATAATTTGCCTGTGTGCTTTTGAAATTGCAGATACCTTTGCCTGGAATGCCCTTTTCCTACATAGCCGATTAGTCAATCTTTGTCTCTTAGACCAAACTAAGGAGCTCTGTCTCTGTAGGATCTTCCCTGTCCCCACACTGCAAGTCTCCTCAGCAGAACTGATGGACCACCATTTGTTTTTCTCATTAAAAATTCTCCTGTCTCATGCCATGTCATAAGCAAGTGGTTACACATTTGTCTTTCTCTTTAGACTGTCAGGTATTTAAGAATGAAGGTTTTTCCATAATCATGTTTGAAACCCTAAGCTGAGCACAGTACCAAGTACCTCATAATAACTAAATACATGTTGATTGAATATATTAATTAATTAATTAATTAATAATCAGTGAAACTTTCTTCACTAGAAAGTCTGAATTATATGGGTTTAAAGTATGTAATATGCAACATGGGCACTTTATCAGATTCTCCTGAATTGGGCACTTATTTTTAATAGGCATAATATATTAATGGACTTAATATTTTTTAATAGAGGCCTTATAACTCCCCAGAATATTAATTATTATCCAAATGAAAGTTCAAACTATTTATTACCAAAGTAAAATATGCATCAGGTATTATTTTATTATGTGTTTCTTGTGTCTTTGCTAAAACTAATTCCCGAAAAATATTTTGGAATTTACCTGCAATTACTAGTTGCCCTACTGACTTAGCATTAAAAATACAATTTATTTTTCTTGCCTCTTCCATTGTATTAAAATGGAGAAATACACTACATGTTAACCAAGAGTGAAAGTAAATAAATATGTTGCATCCTTTGGTAAATTTCAAGATTATGGACTCATGTTGTCAATAGACTTTTCAAGATTATGTCTTCTTTTTCTCATTTAAAAATACAGAACACATTAAATGATCTCATCCAATTTCCAAGAGAGATAACCCAGGTGAGACAGTAAACTAATACACAGGATAAATTTTGTTTTGTTGATTTGTGTTTTTAAGAGAGGAATACAGAATTTAAATCTAATTGGATTATCTTGTGTTATTTATTTAACCAGAAAAAACATAAACACATCTGAACACCATGTTAGAATTTAATCACATTAAAGACAAAGCTAGCAAACTTTCTCTGTGTTCTAAGTTTGTAATCATTTTATTAAACAGAACACTATGCCCTTATGTGTCCCCAATAAACACTAACCCCTATTAGTGTTTTTAAATAAGGTGTCTGCTAACTATGCCAGTTGACAATGTGTCAATCATTTAATCTAATTCTCTATATTCTCAATTATTTTCTGCTATTTAGAAAATGCGAAACATTTTCTACTATTGCTGTATACATATAGGTATATTTGAATACGTGCTCTTGCAAAACTTTTCCTCCTAATTTCCTATTTTAACTTTTTTTATGGGGAAGGCTTTGCAAATTGATCTTTAGGAAATACAGAAAACACCTTTTCAGAAATTTTCTACATTTGAACTAAAGGGGGCAGTGCTTCCTTTCATAGCTTTAAATAACTTTAGCTAAAAACAGGACTCTTCGTAGGTGAAACAGAAGTGACTGTGGAAGGAAATGAATGAAGTGTAGGAAGCTGAATTCATATTTGCAGTTGCCTGGACAGGAGACAAGACAACCTGGGTCGTCACAGGAAGAATGGGCAAGCTCCTGGGGGCATCATTGTTGATATTGTGGCTTCAGCCAGACTGTGAGTTGTGAGTGGGAGGTTTGAATATAGTAGAAAAACTCCAGGAAACAATACAGACTGGGAGATGAGATAATTGGGAAGTTTTGTTCTGGTTTGGTTTGTTTTCTGGCTTTTGATGGTTTTCTGTTTGAATATTAAGAATAAAACTTTAAATGTTACTCTCTTTCCAAACAGGGGTAAACAGTCAACAGAAGAATGGTGACCAGCAGGTTCAGCAAAATTCTCCATTTCTGAGTGTCCAAGAAGGAGAAATTTCTATTCTGAACTGTGACTACAATAATAATATGTTTGATTACTTTGCATGGTACAAAAAATACTCTGCCAAAGGTCCTGCATTCCTGATATCCATACATTCAGTTATGGATAAAAATAAAGATGGAAGATTCACAGTCTTCCTCAACAAAAGTGCCAAACACCTCGCTCTGCATGTTGCAGCCTCGCAGCCTGGAGACTCTGCTATGTACTTCTGCGCAGCAAGTGCACAGTGCTCTCCAGGCACCTGCAGGCTGTGCCCAAACCTACTTTGGGGTCTCAGACTGGGAGGCATGCAGACTTGCTTCTGTTACACATGGCAGTACAAGAGTGTGCTTTGAAATAGGTGAGGCAAGTTGAGCTTAAAGGAAGACTGATACATGAAAAGATTTACAAATTAGTCAGGAAAGTTCTCTGAGCATTAGATTGCCAAAGAGTCTAACCACTCCCCTTTTCTACTTTCAGAGAGAGGCTGCTGGTTTAGCCTCTGGTGACGCTTTGTTCCCACTAGCCCCTGTAATGGGGATAACTTGTCTCCCCTGTATCTTGGGGAGAAAGAATGTGTGTTTGGAATGGGAAACTAGGTCCTACTGCAAGTTCTTCCAGTGAAGATCACTTTCTCAGATGTCATTTCTTTTAGGCTCTCTCAGCTGACAGGTGTCTCTCAGCAAAAAAAAAAAAA